CATGTACAAGCTTAAAAGTAATTAATATCAAAATGCTTCCAACGTTAACAGCAGTTGTTTACCCTTTCTACTTCATTCAGGGTAATGCTCTCCTTATCAGTATCTTTTTTTTACACAAAAAAATGATCATTTCAACGTCTATTTTAATACAGTTTAAGTCGTCAAAATATTTTATGGTTTTCCATTATTCCAAAGGCTTTCCACTATTCCGAAGTAACAATAACCATATTGTGATTCTGATCTAGCACAGAACCATAAAATCTCATAGTAAATATAGTAGAGTTATACTTCCAAAGAGGAAGAAAGCGTAAAGCTGGTGATGGCAATTTGTAACCTTTGTTTAATATCTGTGATTGCCTACTCGAGTCGACTCGATTCAGTTCCATTGTTGAAACTGTTGACATTTTTCTAAAACTACTTAAATAGTTTTCTACTTAAAGAACTAACCAGAGCATAATCAGATGAAAACACGGATTTGAACATGTCTTCTAATAAAATAATAAAATATTTGAAATAGTTCCGATTTAAAACAATGCTATCTGATCTCTTTATATATACAGAACAATGTACACATTGTATATAGAACAATGTGTACTTATAGTGAAAATAAATTTCAAACTCAGTCAATTTAGTCAGTTAGAGGTATAATATGATATATTTTTCAATAAAGGATTTCACTTTTATCTTAATAAGCTTACATGCTTTCAGTTTTACTAATGCTTGATAGTATTTTCACTGCTATTATTTATTGCAATCCTTACCTGAAATTACGAGACTTGGAAAAAATAGCTTGAACATAAACAGTGTCTTCGTTAAAATGATCAAGTTGAGGAAGCACTTACTACATTTGATGTATAAGACTGAAGAAGGCACACACGCAAAAGAGGCGCCTCAGACTGCCTCAGACCAAAACCTTTTAGCGGTATGACCGATGAAATAAGCAAGTAATACGTATTTTGAACCAATAAAACACGGAATGTATATGGCTTTTCAGGACTGTACAAGAAAGTTGGAGATGATATACAAAATGAGTGATATAAAAATGTTTGAACAACAGGAAGATGCAAAAGGAATTGGTAGAATTAGTGTTGATATAGAAAATTGAATAGCATCTAGATGGAGGCATCTTGATATGTTAATTGAGCGGAGCTATAAGCCGTAAGAAAACTAATTGGTTACTTAATTACTAATAAGGGTACTTAAACAGTTAGACAACATCATATCTGTTGAGAATAAAGTTGCAATGGGATTATATTCATAAGTTAAATGCTGCATCGGTGTATAACATAGTTAGCTTTTAATAGGAAATAGACTATTCTAACTACAAAAAAACTGTATTGAAACTATTCTCAAAATTTCAAAATTTGTAATTTAATTTGTTAATGAACTTTTACAGCAAATTAACAAAACTCCAGAAAAACGTGCTAATATACAAGTCAAGTGCGGCTTTGGGTCAGTTGACTCTGAGCTTCAAATTTGGCAGGGTACGAGTTCAACCCTTGGTACTTGCAGTTTCATAGAATTATTTACGAATAATTAAATACAAAAAATAATTCCAAGACTACTGAGGATGTGTGTTTGGCAATACTCCAAACAGCTGTATGGTCAACCAAAAATTCAATCAATTAAAATAATAATAAGAATTTTTGTTGTTTTGTTGTCCACTACTTTTCGAAACCTCTCTTTAAGAATTTATTTAATAAAATATACAAGAAATTAGTAAAATAAAAATGTTGTGATGTGGTTTGTGATGTGATTTTATGTTTGCAACCTACATTTTAGATAGGCTAATAAACAAATACGATACATACTTTATTCCATAAAAATTAAAACACACCTCAAAATAATTATAAAAATAATTGATTTACTACGCAAATATTTAATTTTAATTAATGAAAATATATCGAATGTAAATGCTTTTAATGCATGCTTAGATGCATTTGATTAAATTCTCAATAAAAATGCGACTCACCTGCATCTTTCAATATTAATTGAAGTGTACATCTAACATCGCACAACACCAACTCAGCACAATTACACAATTATAAACCTAAACAATTTTTTATTTAAATTCCAAAGTTAATTACATATAAGAAATTCGCCTATTTTATGGAATTAATAGATGTAAATATACCTTTAAAAGGGTCTAACTACCGTACCTTGAATATATTACACTGAACTAGATATTCAAAGTAATCAATCAAATATGAATAAAAAAATATTTAAATTTATATTTATTATTCACAATTACTTGTTTTAATTAAAAGTCATATAACTTTTTATTCATTGCACATAACATTTGTATTTCAAAAGATTGTATCTTAACACATGGTAAGTGCTAAATGCGCATTGCTTTTCTTTGGAAATTTAATCAAAACCTTACGATACAATTTCGTAATAATTATTATACATCATATATCATAGACATATATTATATATATATATATATAAATATAAATTTATCAATGAATGCAAAACAATGCATAACTGGGCACAACCGAACGTAATTACCTTTACATATTGGTCAAGAATAACCTGTGTATCTATATGAAAGAATTATCTAATAAAAATACATTAATGAAAGAATAATAATAAAATATAAAAACGAAATTTAATTAAAATTAGTATAAAGAATATGTATAATAAATATATGTATATATTAAAAATGACTATAGTATACTACGACATAAGAGTTCTTAAATAATATTTCTACCGGACGTGTCTTGAGAGGTTATTCTTCTAAAGACTCCTAAAACTATTTATGAACTTAGTGATATCTCTTGTAGAAGCCAACCTCTCTTAATCTCTCTTTTTAAAAAAAAAAGCAGCTAGTCAACAAAAATAAGTCCAGTAAATAATCCAATAATTAATTAAGATATATATTTATTAAGAACTAGAAACTTCAGCAACGTGATAAGATAACCTGATATTTCCCTCTCCATTTTACAAAATCTTTGGGGTTAAATCTACTTTAATCCCGCAATTCACCGAATCTTTAGGGTTCAACCTTTTTTTAATTCCTTTTTTGAAAAGGGTTAGCCAACAAAAGCATATCCAGTTAAAAAATCCAAAAATGATTAATCTAGATTTCGAAATCTAATATTTATGGTGATTCTGATGGGCTGTTCGTTGGAAATGTTATAATTTATTCCCCTACTTAGTAGGCACTTTGGCATGGTATAAGGGCTTAGCTACAAGCTAACTTGCTCATATCCATATAACACGATATATTATTAACGAACAGAACACATTGTGACCTGAAAATAATGTGAGAATGACCGCTGGCTTAACAGAATAGGCAGACAGACCAACTTTGCAGATAACTAACAAATCGATTTCTTATTGTAGGAAAGGAAATATCAAGTAAGATATATTACTTTCGCTGAACGGGGTAGACTTAAGGACTCTTAAGGAAGTTGGTTCTCTCCGATTCCGATACCTAAATTTTTGTGAAATCGAAACCTCAATGCACATTCTTTGACAATGCAGACAGACACGAGTGGAATTGTCATGCTTTCATATAAATTATAGAACATAAACTAGAAGCTGTACTAAAATTTTTTTAAATCCTAAATGTAGGATTAATATAGATCTATTCAGAGCACAGTACTTTTAGGCCTTTACTACTAATAATAACAATACCCTCATGAGTTTTAAAATAATTTGTTTGTATTTAATATGTACCGACCTAACAGTGAAATGTAGCTAACATTTTATTTTTTCAATTATAATACCTTATAAATAATTTAATGTTCTATTATAAAAAATACATTTCGAATTTCGAAAACAAATGTATTCAACTGAAATTCATTCAATCATATAGCTGTTTTAGACATCTTTAAATATATAAAATTGGTCTTTAGAAACATCTATTGGTTTAATTCTTTCTATAAAATATTTGGACTGCGAGTTTCAGGAGTTGAATCCTAAACCGTGGACTTAATCTTAATTATTTAAATATTCATTCAACATTAAATTTAAATAAAGCAAAATAAATGTACATACAAATTTTATATCTATTACTTAAAAAGTAAGAATACCTTCTGCTCAAAAAGTACCCGAGCAGAAGGTATATCCAAAAATCTTGCTAAAGTCTACACAGTGTAAACGCTTGATAATTGACTTAAACTTTAACTCTGTGAATCACATAAATTAAAAATAACTAGGCAGTTCTTAATGTTTTTTTTTTACAATTATTCGTAGTTCTCGTAGTTAAATTAAAATGCGAACTATTTCCAGATTTTTATTTATTTATTTAACAAAAAAATTTAGATGTCTGACAGTAAATTATCTATTTAGTTTATTGCACAATAATATTGCATAAGAGAAACAGTAAAAATTTTATTTAATATGTTTTAGTTTCTAAGTATAAATCTTTAAGTTCAGAGATATATATTTTTATATAAATCTAATAGAATCAATATACAAATATAAAAATACACAAAAATTAAAACTCAAAATAGTTAAACAAAATTCAAATATAATAAAAATTATATTCGAACAGTACAATAATTAATTTAATACTATATATAAGTGTAAAAATATTATGTAGAAATATATAACATTGACAAGTTAATAAAAAAACTTTAAATAAAAAATTCATAATTCAAATATTGAATGGACAAAGTGTGCAAAAAAAGGACACAAAAATAATTAAAAACAATAATTATTTCTAATATAGGTTTTTTAAAATTGTTTATAAAATCACTTAAATTAATTTAATTGTATATCATTTTTTTTCATATATAAACTTTTCAATATTAAAATATATTTTGAGCAAAGTGCAAAAACTGTAACATTTGTTTTTAATTTTGTTTACATATTTTTTATTTTGATTTCATTTTTTCTATAACACAATTGGAACGTTTCAAAAATTTCTCGTAGTTTTATATAGTATATATTAAATTATATTAAAATTATATATCTTAACTAATCCATAACATTATTATTCAATCATATATAAAGTGTATATAAAGTGTTAATTTAAAAAAAAATTATTTATTTTAGATATTGTGACGCGTTTGCTTTATGTGTGAATTAAATTAAAATTAATCACAAAAGTAGTGTCAAGTTTTGATTATAAATTTAGGTGACATCTGATTTTACTTTCTGATGAAATACGACAAACAGTCATTATATAGCTGTGTAGCTATATATTTTTGTATATATTACTAATTTTACTTCTTATAATTCCATAACATTATTGTTTTACATTCATTAAAGGATTGTAGTCATATGAAAACATTATTTTAGAAAAACATGCAACATTGAATGTTTTATTCAAATTAATAAATTAAATTTAAAGCAAACGTTGCACACAGCATAGCTTCTTTGTGTATTGTAAACATTTACGGTGTAAAATAATCCTGTTTTACTGTTTCACGCATTTTAGCAAAAAGTGTAGAATTCTTAACATTTGATGTGTCCACAGCTTCGCTACCATCCAATTTAACAATAGTTACCTTCTTTCTCAAGGAAGGTGCTTGAGATTTTGCACCCGACATAAAATATGTTCTAATAGGTGGTTTGACTCTCGGCTCATCAGGTCGAACACTTAATTTTTCATTTGATTTTGCCTGACCACCGGTCTCATTCTTAACCACATCATTGGCATTTGGGGTCGGATGAAAATTCGGACCAGCATATTTGCTTGGACGCAATTTCTCAGGGATCATTTGTGATTTGAGTTCAAATTCCGTTGTGTTAACCACTTCACAATCGATTTGCATAAGGACTACGTCACCATTAAGTGATGGATCACCTGCTGGTAACATAAGTGACATTTTAGGTCGAGCACTTTTATTGTAAGCCGATGCTGGTAGCAAAATATGATCCATGTTAAATGAGAGTACATAAAATGTATCATCTTTACGATTAATACCCTTAAAAAGACGTAAATACTCTTCACTTATTTTATGTTTGTATAAATCCAATGAGTTCTTATTATTCCTATTGCCATTACCGTTAACATTGCCATTGTCATCATCATAATCATTGCGTTTACCTTTTTCATAAATATTGTCATCAAATCGATTTCCGTTTTTATTTGCAATTTCCATATTCAATTTGCTTTGCTTATTATTGTATTCCGAATCTTCCACTATATACTTGCGTTTCTGTTTTCCATTAAGTAATGTTTTCTGTAGCGGTAGATCAATCGTTTCAAAATAATCCGGTGTCAGCTTGAATCCTATGTGATTATCCAGGTCGTTATCGATCGATTTGTGTAAACTAAGATTAAGAAAATCATTTCCATCTATCCATTTATGCAAGTTACTAGCCAAACGCAAATTTTCAGTATGATTAAAACTATCCCCCATGCCGTCACTTCTCGAACCTAAAGGCGGTTCATGAGCAGTACTATTAAAAGTGATTCCCGCACGTGTACGGTTTACTGGGCGAATGAAGTGCAACGGTGGTGGTGGCATATCTAATTCAGCATCACGTTTTACGCGATGTACTGCTGTCTCGTTGAGCTCCTTTTCTGGCTCAACCCAGAGCAGACGTCTGCCGATGGCTACGGGTTCTTCTGCCTCAACGGAATTCTCAATTCCGTGCTTATTAAGATAATTTTGAAAGTTTCCCACATTCATGGTGACCATAAAAGCCATCGCAAACAACACTGCCACATTCTTTTTAATATTAGCCGCTGACATCCGCTGCTTGATTCCTTTCAGTGATGGTTTCGAAGCAATCTTTACATTCTGTTGATCGGCTCCAGTGCAATTATTGATGTTTAATGAATGAAGTATAAATTCGCTAATGTTACTATTTTTACACTGGCATGTCTGCGCAAAAGCTACCAATTGTGAACGAAGTGATGAATTTTCCTGCAATCACGAAAAATTTTCATTAATAAAAAATTAATACTGTTTTAAGCTATAAATAATTTTTAATAACATGTAAATATTTTTAAAAAACTGCATATATTTTTATTATTCTTATGGAATATAACTTATTCAAGATTTATATCTAAAAGTAGTTCCAGTAATCAACAGATCTATATCCTAAACTCACACATCGATCCCAATGACCAAGCGCCACACAGCACTCACAACGGGACTACAACAATAAGTCTAGAACTCACTTAACATCACCGACGTAAATCCGTTCATAAATCTCCAAGCAATTTTACTGTTTTAAAGAACGGAAACCGAGCCGACTTTCTAAAGCAAGGTTTGATATTGGTATTATTGTGATAACACATAAAGATCTAAATTGCAAATAACATTCATAGATTAGGATATAATCTAATAAAGGAAGTTTAAACAGCGAGGCGAGTGTTTGGGAACAAGAGAAGTATATGATATAAATAGAAATCAACCTTTGTTAAGGCGAAGAAAGTAGGATTCTTAATTGTTGTAGTCAAACATTAATTAGACTCAAACTGGTGGTGTATGGGCATAAAGGCTAAATTGCCATATCCACAAAAACGAGAGAAATAAGAAGCAAAGGCTTCGAAAGCAAAGAACCCAACACATTAAGAGGTATATCTTAATACCCCCGATTAAAATTTACATAAAAGATAAAGTGCTATTTAGAAAAATAAATATCTTAGAAAGTAATACTTCAACATGCTTAAGAAGTTGTTACATGACCACTACAGTTAGTAGATACGAGGGTATCAACCACATAATGTCCGTATTTAATTTACAGATATTATTAATAACATATTAATAGAATACGTCATTCAAAAAATAATAATAATAAGCTGAGTTATATATTATATTCTCTTTATTGTTTTTATTATACAGTTAAACTCAAATAGCAAAGTATATAAAAATAGAAAGCAAGTGTTTAGCTCATTTTTTTACTAAACATCTGTGTTTATCGAGCTTATAAAAGCAAAAATTCTGGTGAATCAATTGCTAATGAAACATATGTGTTGTAAATAATAAAATTTTATTAAAAATTTTAATAAAAATTTATATTATGTCTACGAAGCTAAGCTGTCCAGGCAAGTAACACCGGAATAGAGACCAGGTTTCCCCGTAGAATCGCCAAATGGCAAGAAGTATTCATCTACAATCAGGGTAGCATCAATTATAACAAAAGATTATTTATAACACAAATAATTTATTCAAGACCTATATAAACATGGACATACGACATGGATAGATTAACGTTCATATTTCTCCATTTCTTATCATCACTTATAATGACATACATAAATGACACGGATAGATTACGACTCATAGTTCTGTAGATCTTATCATCACTGAGATAAAATTTGTAAGAAACGTTTATACACGACGTAAACAATTTCTGTAAAACCTATAAGAACATGAATAAAAGGGATGGATGGATTATTATAACTCCGCTTCTAATTATAACTTCCCAATTCTCTTTCTGCCCCGTTCATATTATTCCCTCACTCAATCTAATTCAACTACATTCAATATACAACTTTGATCTACAACAGGTTTTCTCAACCGCCAGTCCGCAAGATAAACAATATTAATTTTTTTTGGGAAGGTGTTGCTACCGATTCTGGCAGAACACATTGAATATTTTTGCAGTCCCCCTTATGTTTTAAGCTGGGAAGTAATTACTTTACACATTTCTTGCCTTGTCGATTGAAATCCCCTTTGGATTTGTGCTCATACTTGTTGGGCTTCCTAAAAACGATTGCGCTTAAAAGTATGCTATAAAAAACGATTTCAACCAATTATGTTGTTGAAAATATGTTTACTGGAAACAGTCACGACGGACGGTAAAGTATCTTTAAGTAAACAACAACAAATTAGTTCGCACTTGGAATACGTAACCGTATTCCGAACCGTTCAGAGCTGCTAATTTGGCTAAAAGAAATTGTAAGCAAACGTTGAACTTTACGTTCCACTTTTAACGCATTTTCGTTACCTAAATTCGTTGCTTACTCAGAAGAAATGCGTCGCAATTTCTTTAAATAAAAATAAGCATTTAATATAATAACATTTTAGCAGATAAACAAGCTGAGGTAGGAATAAATAAACATAAAACAAAACTTATTTCGCAAGAATGAATTGTTTTCGAGCATTGCCGGATTATGTGATTTTTTGCGTTTAATTCTGGCGCATGAAGTGCATGTGCTCGGGCATATCTCAGAAAACAAAAACCGCTTATCTGTGCATATAGTGTATTCTACAGCGTTCCTATTGATAAGAATTATTATATTGTATAAATATTAATATTTACACAGATATATTTATAGCACGAAAAAAAACATAAAAAATAAATTGAAAACGAAATGCAGCTTTTTATGAATAATCTAGAGAAAACAAAAGCGAAAAAAGTGATACTTAAATAGTTCACTTCACACTCACTCACCCCCTTCAATGAATAATTTTCCTTCTCTAAATTGTTGATGCGGGTTTCCAACGATGTGACGTACTCCTTCTTCTTTTTACGCGACAGTGAAGCCGATTCACGATTCTTAATCATGCGCTGTTGCTTCTTAAGCATTTTTTCATCCATGATGCCTTTATAGACGCTGAGATCGGGCGCAGTGCTTGCCGTAACCGGCACTTTAGCAACTGCACTTGTTGTACTTATGGGGGGGTTATTAGTTTTATGGTTTGGCTGTTTAATGACCATAGGTCCATTGGCTTTCACAATTTTCGGCATAAAAATTGGCTTTGAGTTTTGTGTATTCGATATACTCGCAGGTTGCACGATTTTGTTTGCTGTTATTACTTTGCCATTTGCAGTTTTCATAATTATTTTAGGCATCTGACCAGTGATTCCACCAGAGATTTTTGCACCTTTACCATTTGAATTCATCTTCTGCATTAAAGCCTTAAAATCATTCGAAGAAAGGAATACCGTTTTAGGTTTAAAATTTGTATTGGTACTTGAATTTGTATTTCCTGCTGCTGCTGCTGTTGTTGTTGTTTGTGGTGGGGTATCTTTAAATACTTTGCCTTTTGTGGCATTTCCTGCAACAATTTTAATAGGTTGCGCCGCAGTTTTGGGAGCTATCTTAGCCTCATTTTTAACAGTTGCTTGTGCAACGCTTTTTACCGATGTGGGTGCTTTAATATTCGTTACTGGGATCCCAGCTGCTATTTGAACGGTCTTAACTGGTATAATAACCGGCTGCACTTGTTGTAAGGGCTGTAACTGTATTGTTGGGGTGGAGTTATGCATTGGCAATATAGGCATAGACATAGGTAATATATTGGCGCCGGTAGTAATGGATTCTATATTTTGTATTGGAAATTTATTATCAACAAGAATTTTTGGTACCTCCCGCATAGCTGTACCCACATCGTACATTTCTTCATCATAGTCTGCCTCTTCTGTCTTTGTAACGCAATCGTAATTACTATCTAAAGTGTAATTTGCATGCAGAACTGTAGAAGGTACAAAGAGCTTATTTGGAACTTCATCACTGGAATTTTCAGTTTTTATGAAATCCATATTTGTAAGATCATATTTTACTTCAGATGATGCATCACTTTGTACACCGCTTGTTGAGCTGCCACTAGAACTTGTGCAGCTACCAGTTGGGGATGGTGTACTTCGCATAGGTGTAAAATTTTCATTTTTAAAATTTTTCTCATCAAATAAATTGTAAATATCATTAGTGTTATAGGAATCGCCTTCCAATGATGAGGTGGATAAAGTACGCTGTGATGCATCATGTGGTGGCGTTGAGACATTTGTAGTTGCAGGTGAAAATTCAGAAAAATCAAAACTAAACTCTTTCCATGCTGCTTTTTGCATTTCAGTGTCTTGAGGAGGTGCTTTAAAATCAAAATTATTAAAATCAATCGAGGAATCTAAATGCGAGTCTGTAGAACGTAATATTTCCTCCAGATCATCCAAGTCATACTCCCCGGGAGTGGGCATATACGATGCAATTTCATCTGTAATATAAGTAAATATATATCTTTTTTTAGTAAAAAATATAATAATTATAAAAAATTGTAAAAATTTTGTTAAGTAACATACGGAAAAAATTGAATTAATTAGATCATTTAATTTTTTTATAATTTAATAATTTTACTTAATCGAATTTTTTTTGTATTGCCTTATAGGAAATAAAATGTGGCAACAAAGTGTTAAGTTATTATGATTTATGATTTGGTTTAATTTTTTTATTTTTACACATCTAAATTTCGGAATTTCACTTTATAAATAGTTGAAAATGTGAATCACCTACTGTTTTCACAATCACTTCCAACTTTGGAAGCAAAACTGCTAGAGTAGCAAAAAAGTTTGCATTAAGTTCGCAAAAAAAAATATGTTTCAGTAAAATTTTGCTTAAAATAAATAATTTTTTGAAATAAAGTTTATATTTTTAATTTTCCGGTATCTGGATTGGAACACCGTACATTTATATATTAACTATACTGTAAATGCAACTCTGTTGTTCTATTTAAAAATGCAGTGACTTAACTGTATCTTTACGATATATAAGTTGTAATAGTTAGAATTCATGAATATTATTTTAAATTCATAATTAAGAATGTTTTAACGGCTAATTGATTAAATCTAATTGATAATTGAACGAATCTACAGATTCGTGTATCCAGAGTATTTATCCGAGCCCAACTTCCTCAATAAATTATAATGTGATATATTTTCAGTCGATATAAGATATCCATCTACGTATTTTTTTCACTTATTCATGAGTTTCTCAATAAATTATCAAATACTAATGCTGCATCCGATATGAGATATCGAACTAGAGCTTCATACGTTTATGTATCTATAAATAAATTAGTTAAAGTATTTATGTATAAATTATCAAATACTACTGCTGCATCCGATATGAGATATCCTACAAGAGCTTCATACGTTTATGTATCTCTATCGGACAAGTTCTCAACCATGTATTTTGTACTCTATATAATTAAGTTTATTAAATATTTTGTTAAGCTGATTATACCTAATTCACATATAGACCTGATTGATCTATAGCAATTTGAAATATTTCTAGTAATAAAATTTTAAGTTTTGATTCGATTGTTCTAAACTTTTGTCTTCCTTAAAAATCAAAAACTTATTCCAGAAACAGTTTTATAAAAAGAACTGATAATAACCAAGTATTGCAAAAAAAAACTGGCTCATTATGGATCCAAAAGATAGACATATTGTAACAATGAGCAAGTAACTTAAATTATAATTGGATTTTAATATAATAATACTATTTGATTGTTATTCATATACTAAATATATAAATCTTATGTTGTGTTTGTAATCTAGATAGAAGACTTTTTTCTTTGACCGTTTTTATAGGAGATAAAAAGCGGTACCTTGTCATATTTACAGAAAAATATGTAATATGTAATTAATGTAACATAATATTATTTCATTAGCTATTTAATTGATTCAATATATTAGGAATAGGTCATGTGATCTCGTATTTTCGTATATTGTAACTTCGATAAGATATGTAGTTCTGTTTTGTCTGTTAAAAAGTTCTATTTACGCAGAATTAAATTAAATTTATCTGTTACAAAGATAATACAGTAGTAGCTAAACTAATTGTAGACCCGACAATTTTTATAACTCTTCACTAATATAATATAATATAATATTGTTAACCATTTATTTTTCGCTGATTGAATATTCAAGTGGTTTCCTGAAATCCTACTCATCCCCAATTCACTCTTACTCCTAAACGATTCCCTTCTCTCTTTCACACTACCATATGCTAAACCATGTATACATTTTTGTGATTTCTTCTTGATAGATGTTATCTGCTTGATAGATCTTTGCGGGTACAACAACAACAACAACAAGTTGTTATCAAAAAGCACCTATTATTATAAATATTATAATGCTAGCCCTTTAATTTCCGGTAATGGAATAACTCAAATAGATAATGAAAAAAAAAATTGTTAACTGATCGAAGAAAAGTGATGACCTCTTATTTATCTATACATGCAGAAAACTCAACACGAGACCATCATTAATTTTGAGACCATCATCATTTTTCATTGAGCACATTTAAGAAATACTGCTAGCCATGGACGTGTAAATATGTAAAAGCAAAACTTCGTAAAAGATAACTTATTCTTGCTTTATATTGAAATATTTATAACAAATTTTGTATAATTCAATTTTTCAAAAATAAAAAATAAAATTTTATTATTTTTAACACACAAAAAACTAAACAACATATCTTATCTGAGTTACAAGATACGAAATTACGAAATCACAGAACCTACTCCCTCCCATATTGAGAATATATTGAGGCAATTATCTTCAATTCATAAATTATCGTTCTTAGACAATACGAAACCGTACGCCTTCGAAATATCTTATCATCACAGTCTCAATATCATTTCTCAAAATATAACAAAATATATAATAAAAATAAAAAAAATAATAATTTTTGAAACAACACACAAACAAAATCCATACACTTAAACAAAATGTTAATTAGAAAAAAAATGTGCTCCGACTTCGATCTTGTAAGTTTACAAATAGAAAGGAGATTACCATGACGAAAGAATGGAAGACTTTTCGACTTTTCAAAAGAAAGCTAAACGGGATGTTGTTGGATTACACAAAAAATGAGCAGCGCAGCACTTTTGTGTAGTGGAATGACTGGTTTGGCAAACCTGTTCCACTTGGTTGAATGCTTTCTTAAGCAATTGGAATGCACAAGAAAAGGGAATAAAACGTGCTCAGAAAACTTAAGTATGAATGGTGGTTATGTTGAAAACAATTAACAATTAACGGTAAAAACATTAAAATACGCAATACGAAGTAATTAAACACAAGTATGGAAAATCCAGAACACACAAAGAAAAGGAATTAAGGAAAAAAAAAAAAAAAAGCAGAGAACTCATTTATATTATTTGTTTTGTATTGTGTAGGTGGGCAGGCATATGGCAACAAATACGTCAAGAGAAGTTTTGTAGTATTTTTCATTTTTTCATTTTTTTTGTTTTTTTTTAGAAGTTATGTTTTTTTTCACAAAACAACACAATACACAAAATAAGCATTTTACTAATTATATATTTACGTTGCCGTTGAAATTGAAATATATTGTGAATTTAGCGTGTCCCAGATAAATGCACTTTATGGATGTATAGCTGCAAAAATAAAAGTGAAGGGCGTTTAAAACCGTTTGCCATCATAGGTTTACTCATAACTGAGTACATATAGTCACACACATACACACACACGCACACTCAATGAAATACTTTTTAACTGATACAGCGATATGCACACATTCACCACTCACCGTAAAAGTTATCAACGTCCATCTTAACAATTATATTTTACAATTATTTCGCACCAATCGCCATTAAATATATTAAACATTTCATTATTTTATAGGAAAATGTACACAATCCAAAATTGTACGGCTTTTTTCAGCCGGAATTCACTTCGTCTGCGAACTCAACGTTATTCACAACCGATACAGAAGCAAGTCAAGTGTTGACTGAAGGTAATTGTCAAAACAGTGTTACAGAGCAGCGCATTTAAATAGTAGTATTCGTAAAAGTACACTGTTATCTGTTGATATATAAAATCAACAAACAAGTTACATCTTATGCCTATTTCTTATTCGAAATTTATAGCTCAACATGCACTATGAATTTCAGAGTAATATTAATAAATAGACAAAATACATGTCTACAGTGTTTTATTATTATTAATCTTTTAAAATATCTAGTTTCATAAATAAATAAAAGCAAAGAAAAACAAGTTACATCTTATGCCTATTTCTTATTCGAAATTTATAGCTCAACATGCACTATGAATTTCAGAGTAATATTAATAAATAGACAAAATACATGTCTACAGTGTTTTATTATTATTAATCTTTTAAAATATCTAGTTTCATAAATAAATAAAAGCAGAGAAAAATTACAATTTGCCTGAAATTAATAAAACAAAAATGAAAACTGTACTGAAAGTTAAACTTGGCTAAAAAAGTTACTATATATTATACTTATTTACTTATATTATAGATTTCAAACTGAATATCAATAATAATTGGAAAGATACAATCGCATTATAGCATGAACTCAACATATGCGGTAACTCTCTCTACACAGAGAAGATTTAAGACCATCACTCCCATCAGCTCAACCGAATGAAACCAAACATTATATTAATATAAATGTTTATTCATTATTAATACATGATTGTTAAATTAGTAAAACGTTGCTTTTTTAATTCTTTAAACTACCTCTCAAAGTGGGTTTTTTAGAAATGGATTTGTAGTCACACTTCATATTTGACAAAGTATAAATGTTTACATGTAAAGCGAAGTTATAGTACGTTATTATATATATATGACATCATAATATGTATTGCACAATATGATTTAATTTATGTTGAACGCAAAGTGATTACTGTTATAGTTGAGCCTTAATATTAGTTATGTTAAAGGACGTGCCCTTTAACGAACATCTTCATATATTCATACTTACAATGTTGTATAGAACATCAAAACTTTTTATATTGCTTTTATTCACTTATATATTTAATACAGATTCAACAATACCATTTGCATTAAGTCAACAACTTCTTTATATACATCCAAATGTATTAAAAGTTTAACACCTATTCACTAGACTCTAATATAAAAACATATGACCAAAAACAAACATTTTTTGGTGTGACCAACTTAAAATAAGTTTGGTGTGACCATCTTATCGCCACAATGTATTTAAAAATCCGCAATTAATATATTGACGAGAATACAATTTTACAATATCAATGCACAGCTGATTTTACACTTATTGTGTTCAATTAAATAATTCAGTACTTCTAATTGGTTTGTGTAATTTCATTTGTTTATGTTGAAACTAATTGAATTGCTTATCGGCGAAAGTAAGAATAAAACACAGTCCAAACAGCACAATATATAAACAAATAAATTTATTAATTTCTAATTAATGTATAATATACTGGCAAATTAAATGTAATTCATTGGAAAGTTTATTAGTTTAATAAACCTCGTTCATTTCGTATTTGGTAATTATTGTATAAAAATTCTGTTAAGTTTTATTTTCGGTCTTACTAAATAGTTAAAGATGGTATCAGTAGAAATACTAATCTTTAAAGGTTTAAATTTACTTCGCATAAATAACAATTTGCTTATTTAATGTTTTAAATTTGAAAAAATTATATTACCACTAAGATTATTTCTGATAACCGCTTTATTTTAGGCCATGTGCGAGTTCGAGTAAATTAAGATTAAGTAAATTGAAATTTCCTTGGGATTTTTTGCTCTGCACTTATGTTAATATTTATTTATTTATTTTCTACATTTATTTATTATTTTTGGTTAAAAGTTTTCAAATTTCTTTATTTATTTATTAAACATCTTATAAAATTGCACAGTGGAAATTGCACAATATCTATATCAATTAAATTATTTAGGACGTGTGCGAGTTAGGCTAAGTTGCGTTCTAAATGAGGGAATTTCTAAGTTGTGCCGATAATGTAGTGATGTGTCAAAACGTGTTGATAAATGGCTAAATGTATGCAGTGCAAAAAATCCCAAAAAACCATTTGGTTTAATATCAACTTAACCCAACTCGCACATGTCCTTAATACGGCACATTACCATATTGAATTCAAAGTCATGAAAATTATTGAATATTTTGGCATTCAATTTAATTAATAAATGACACCAAAATTTACAATTTTAAAAATATTTATAGCATCAATTATTACCTTGACTAGATCAGGAATTGATATTGCATAAGCATAGAATATTACTAAAATTCAAGTGCATGTGCCATATATTAAATTATCTATAATAAAACTGCTATAATTATAATTTAGTGGTGTGGCAACGCCTGCATTGTACTTGACAGTTCACTCAATGTAAAGTTGTCACTGCTGTTAATATTTTATACATTGTTTATAATAAAATTAGTAAAAGTTTTTAAATGGCTACTTATTGCAATCAACATTGGTTACTTTCTCATATACGAAATTCTTTTATATCCACTGATGATACTGGAGTAAGTGAAATGAAGATTACTTTACTGTAGACAATACCAATATATCGTGTTCAATGTTTGTTTACATTTGCCTTTATTTTATTTATTTTTCAGATGTGTGAAACGGTAATGGTAAGCGATGACTTACCTAAACATTATTTAAGTAAATTTCAAACGGGTAATCAGCAACTTGGTTATCAAAATCAGCACCGCAAATCTAGTGGCAATACCAGTGCTAATAAAGCACAAATGCAACGTTCTTTAGACCTTCCACCACAAGAAGCAGATTTTGTGTGTTACCCTGGTCTAGACTTAAGCGATGATGAAGATATGGATCTTTCGTCACAATCGTATGATATACAAATGTATCCGGAAGTGGGTGCACATAGATTTCGTTCCAACACTGCTCAAAAATTGGAGAAAATGGATATAGCACGACGAAAAGCAGCACGTACCAAGTGTGTAAACTATGACGATGAGGTTATTCCTCCAGATGATAGTGATTATTTTGTACGAAAAACACTTTCTCCTGCAAAAGTTATACAACCTAAAGAATCTATAGCTGTGGAAATTACTGAAGATGCGACAATGGAAGAAACTTGTGACTCTGGTATAAAAAGCAAATTAGCTTTTCAACTTGCTAATAGTCCAAAGCAGTCTCAAAATAAATTTATGGAATATGCGAAGTTTGACGGTACATCACAAACGGGCATACAAACAAAACGTATCAATGTTTACTTAAGTATGCTGCCTGAGCGTGAACGTAATTATCCAATAAAAATATGTGTACTCGCAACTGCTAAAATAATAGAGGTAAAAGAATATAAAACGAATACTTATTTGATGGTCTTATATATATTTATAATTTTTTTCACAGGTCATTGGTCTAGTTTGTTATAAGGCTACAATGCAATATCCTGATATACCATTGAAATCTATAAGGCATTATGCTTTATATATGACAGAAGATAATGATGATATGGAAGATTTTCCACCGCTTGATAACCGTGAGCCTTGCTCAAAATTTGGTTTCTCTCATCTCACACTAGCTGAACGACGACCATTGGCGCCTGTAACGCGCATTGATTATCATAATAATTTAGCAACAAAATCAATGACTTCCGAAGAAGATAAAGCACGTCTAGCGGCAGCTGCTGTTTACTCTCTACAAAATATTGAATTGCATGGTGGGAATGTCGAAGATAAGGATAAAAAGAAAGATACTGATAGTGATGAGCACAGTGATCATGATGAACTAATTGGACATAATAATGCTCTGGAAGCGCCAATGTATCGAACGTATCGTTTGCAAATAATTGAGAAGTCTTTCTTCAAGACCGAAGTTACATTAGGTATTTCAGGAGAACGTATTGAAATAGACCAACACAAAATCGCTAAATTTTGGACAAAACAAAAAGCTGTAACTTATCCAATAGAATCAATTGCATTTTGTGAAATTGTTGAACGTCGTTCGAGTAAAACAATTTTACGTATATGGCTTCGATCTTCTTCATCGTCTGGCAGTAGTGGTGATAGCAAAACGATGTCTCTTCAGTTAGGTGGCAGTGGTACAAGCGGTGGTGGTTCACATTCACCAAATAGTCCTGCGCATTATCCACAACATGCGTCACCATTTGCTTTCTTTCAAAATACAACCGCTTCAAGTCAACATCATCAAATGCGTTTTAAACATTATGATTTTGAGACAGATTTTCGAACTGCTGAACACATACTTAATAAATTGAATTGCATATTGGAAGTGCGTTCAAGTGAAGTACGGCGGGAGTTTTTACAAATGCGTGAACGAAAGTTGGAAAAGAGTCTAGCAAAGAAAAATTTAAAAATGTAGTATCCACAATATTATTTTGATTGCTTCAGAGTAATCAGCGTCTATAATCACGGCAATCCAGCTTCAATATGTCGTTATAAACGCAATGCTAAATTCTAATTAAGTGTATTTGCCGAATTACCAATACGTGTAACGTAGGACTGAAAGAACATTTCGTTAGACGAAGAATCGTTATTTCTTTAGTTTGTGAAAAAAAAAAATTGTAAAAAAGTAATGCCCCGGGTGAGGCTCGAACTCACGACCTTAAGATTATGAGACTTACGCGCTGCCTACTGCGCCACCGAGGCTATAAGAACTCCGTGTCTATTGTGTAAAAAGTTCTTAAAGTAGAACAAAATCATAAAATAAAAATGTCCTTAAAATTCTTTATTATAGAATTTATAAGACTTAAAAATTTTAAAATTATTTATAATTTTTTGTTTTTTATAAAACAAAAATGTTTACATTTAAGATATTAATAATCTATCAATAAATTTACTCGCACATTTCGTCTGAAATGTGTTTAAATTAATTTATATTATTTTATTTATTCATTTCGATTAAATTACTGTTAAGATCCATTAATGTAATATAGAAAATATTTTTATATTTATTAAGAATATTTAATATTTATAGGTCATAGTCCTTTATACTTTTAATATCTAATATTAAACATTTAATCAAGTGTATTTTTAGGTTGACTATGATTCTATTTCGGATACCACCAAATATCCGTCATTAGTGGTTTTTTGAAATATCTATAGGTGTGTTTGTCCGTGTATAACTTTTTGGACTGATAGTTTCTAAAGTTAAATCCTGTCAGCTTTAAAAAATTTAAATATTTCCGCATTATTTACATTTTTTTATTTGAATATAACGCAGGACTTAGTATTATTGTCATAAAATATAAATTTCATTTTTATTAAATATATCTATCATGACTTATTGTAATGATAGATTTCTTGCCAGGATATAATATTAAATATCTTTGGTAAGTTTGAGAAATATTTAAGCAAAAAACTTACTGATATAGTGACATATCTACTGTATTAAAATGCTTAATATGTCTGGACTTTTGTGGTATATCCTTTTTTTCTATATATTCTCTATTTTTCTTTATGCAAATGCATGTTTGCAGATTGAATGTAGTTATTCTCACAGTAAAATTCATTCTTTCTTATAGAAGATATACAATTTTTGAAATTATAGCATTTTTCCTACACCAGAGGTGTGTTCTAGACACCACAAAAAAATTTTTTTTTAATTTCATTCCATTTCCAAAACCCAAATAGGTTTAGACCATATATAAATGAATATATATACATACATATATTAGATTTATTTAAATAAGAGGTATTATTCCTATTTCATATTATTTAATTACATTTTCCTTAGAATACTTTAACTTGAAAAGTAAAAAAGTTATGCCCCGGGTGAGGCTCGAACTCACGACCTTAAGATTATGAGACTTACGCGCTGCCTACTGCGCCACCGAGGCTATGAGTCATCTATGTTTATTTCTTTATATAAATGTAAAATATTCTAAATGCGTTTAAAATTCTAAAAAAGTTCTATTCTATATTCTCACACAAAACAATTTTATCCATAGATTTTAATAATTTTATAATATTCTTAATAAATACAAAAAATTTTATTTTGATACAAAATAATGATATAGAATAATCTTACATTGGTAAGTCAAGTAACAGTTAATATCTGACCACATTTATAGAAATTATATGAAATTAATATAAAATATTTTATTTGATACCACATTATCTCTTATTTAAAATCCTTTACCTTATTATTTATCTCAATAGTTCTGTCCATACCATCCTAGTTCTGCCATTGGGGATGCAACAAACTTAATATACTGTTGTACTTTAAAGAAGGTATATTATTCATCGCCGATAATAACTACGCATAGAAATGCGAATCACTAAATAAAAGCACTAAATAACTTTTAACTTTAAGACCCTCTTGTCTATAAAAATATATATAATTATATATATTTTATCATAACGATTATGATAATTGCAATGATTATAATAATTAAAACGATTATGTTTTCATAATGTTATTTTCATAAATAGTACAAGTAAACTAAGTCTGAGCAATAGATCTAAAAATATTTAAAACACAAACCGATAGTTCAGGGTTATAATTACTTAGTATATTAACATAAAAAACTAAACGATAGTTCAAAGTCATACTTATTTAGAATATAAATATATTGTAAAAATTTAATAGATAAAAAACTTCCACTCGGAAGGAAGAAAGCTAAGACTTGTAATAGGAAATAACAAGTGTTTCGTCGTCAATAATATTGTCGTGGAGTAAGGTCAGGTTCAGTAATTGCTTAAGTACTTTGTAAGAAAGCATCACCGACAGTTAAAAATAGAATAAATTGCAATTCTATATAAAAATAGAATTTCCGAAGGAAAGTAGCTACTTGCACGCTACGTAAATATGGAATGCAATTTTGTTTTCATAGAATAGCTTTTTAACTCTTATGATAAATAGCTATGTGAAATAATATATTAAAATAAATTTTCGATATGTTAGATTTATTAAAAAATTTAATAAAAATATTTAAATAATTATTTGAAAGCAATTAAAAAATCTTTTTTGACTATTTTAAAAATTTTTAAAGTATTTTAATTCTCATATTAATTTATTATAAATTTTTTAACAGATGATTTTAATTAAAACTATTTTAAAACTATTAATTTAAAATATTATTATTATCATATTATTTTTTGCACACGATTTTGAGTAGTCTATGTAGCCTATATTATAAATACAGTTACAGTATTTTTTCTGTTTTTTTTTTTGTTTTAAATCGAGATATATATTTCTATTGATTAATGCTTATTTACAATTTAAAATCTTCATTTTTAATAGCACATAATGTATTTTAAATAATTTAGTGTTTTGATTTTCTTTTTAAACTGAATTTAGTTACATTTATAATCCATTTATTGCTATTAATATATATAATCCTATATATATATATAATGATAATGAATGATAATGTCATCTTAATTGATTGAGAAATAATTACTTAATCGAATAAACGAAAGCCATCCTATGTTGAGGAACGCATTTTTAATACTTTACTAATTACTAAATACTAATTACTTGAAAGTGATGCATGATAGAAGAAAAATTTCTTTGCCAAAAATGTTTGTAATATAATAAAAAGTATCACTAAATGAAAAATTAGTCAATTTTAAGATAAATTAAGTTTTGCGTACAAATTAGCAAAAATAATAAATCTTAAATTAATTCCTTGAACCAAAAAAGCAGTCTCCACATTTATGTTGAAAAAGACAAACCATATTGATTAATTTAGTATTAGTTTTGTATTTTAAATTGTGTAATTTTCTTCTATAATAAAGGCGACATCGCAACCTTTTTCTATATATCATAGAAGTCAAATTCATAACTCACATAGTTTAAGATAAAATACAATTAATACCGATTGTAGCGCTATGCAATAGGGAATGCAATAGTAAGCATTTCCCACATATGCTGAAAATGTACAAATTGTATAGTTTTTATTATTCTTCTATATATCATCGAATTTAAATTCATAACTCACAGCGTTTAAGATAAAATACAATCCATTAATACCGATTGTAGCGCAATGCAATAGGCTTACGTGCATGAAATGCACTTTGCACCAAACAGAAGTAATAATTTAAATGAATAACTGATCGTTTAACAGAAATGCTTTCATGTTCTATGCAAAAGTGATAAAAACAATGCATAAGTAAAATTAATAAATATGAAATATATTTTAGAAAATATGTACTTGAAATTTCAAGAACATTTATAAATAGAAATTGATTGAAACAGAAGAAAATATGTGTTTTGCACTGCAATCAGTTAATTTAAACTTAAATGATTGAATTTAGCATCCATACACTAAGTGGAAATTACATCGAATTTGATATAATAAAATGACACTCCAGCGACAACATCTTCCAATACCCGATGACACTGAACGTTGCCACACGTTCTTGAATTTATTGCTAATTTACTTCCTGTCTCAGCGACTGTCTGAATGCACGTAAGCGCATTTGTATGCTTGTGTGCCCGCCCAGTACGTTTTTATTGCCGCACTTGTTTGCGATGCTCTCTGAGCGAAGCCATAAATTGTTTCCGTTTAATGAGCGATTAACGATTTTTAATCGCTGTTATTAATGTAACTGTACAAAACCATGATTAAAATTACTCTTAAGTTGCATTTTAATATATTAATTAGTTGTAAAACTACAAAATATAAATAATTTGAGGTAATACTTTTAAAATTTTAATTAAAATGTCTTTAAAATCTTTTTATGTATTTTTTTTATATTACATACAATATACAGTGACATATAGTCATATACCTATGTTAATATTGTTTTTCCATAGAAATAATGATAATTATCATATAAGAATTACCATATTATAAGTGAGAAAAAATAATATTTTAAATAAAACTCGAAAATCTATACTTTAATAACTGGTAAAAAAAAGGGATTTCATGAAATAATTTGAAAATTGGACACGATTTCAAATTCACAGATGCGTCTATTTGGGAACTGTCGTCTATCAATACAGCTAAATTTCCGAGATTTTTTTTCCATATAAATAATCATAATTATCATATAAGGCTTATCTTATAATGTGTGAGAAAAAATAATATTTTAAGTAAAACTTGAAAACCAATACTTTAATAACTGTTAAAGAAGAATGTCAGATGAGTCTATTTTCCAATTAATATCAATATAGGTTATTTACCGAGATATTTTCGTTTATATGATAAATATTATTATTGCATATACTAGCTTCGCCAGGCAGCATATGTAGTTTCTACTAGATTAATCATTTCACAGCATCACAATGAGCTATAGATGTCTCCAAATCGAAGTGCTGGTAGTTGTATCAGCATGCTTGCTCTCTCAATTTAACCTATAAGCTATACGATACATTAATATAGCTTAACTTTCGAGATATTGTCGTTTATATAATCAAAATAAAATTTAAAATTAAATTTATAATATTTTTATATATAATATAATATGGTCAATAACTGTCTTCGAGTGGTGGTGTTTGTATTATATCAGCACATGCCCTTTCAACCACATACAGTGTATTCAATCCAAACAGATTACATATCCAAATTGCATACCATCTAAGAAATCTAACGCGACCAACAAAGGAAGATAGATGAGTTCATGCTGAGGTTAAGCGTTAACTTATCAGGGTTAAAGCTTTCTTGTGTTTCGAATTTATTGGAGAATCTATGTGATATCATAGATCAATAAATAATTTGTCTATTTATAGTTATTTATTAGTCTATAGTGATATCTAAACGTGA